TGAACTCAGGTCCTTGCGCTTGCCAGTGAAGTACTTATTCTACTGAGCCATCTCCCTGGTCCCCACTGTTTGTCTTTGTGTAAGATGACTAATTTTGGTTTAGTCAACACTGTTCAAGATGGCCGGGGATCTAGTAGTGCCAAATTTATGATTAAACCTCCATTCAGAGAGAAACTAAGAAAGAATGCCTAAAGACAGGTGGGTATGGTGATACACATCTGTAACTCCAGCACTCTGTCAAATGAAGGCAGGAAAATTCAGTTAGAGGCCAGCCTGTGCAATTAGAGATTTCTGAGAGACTGATACAGACAGACAACAGCTAGAAATGCAGCTCAAGGCAAAGACCTAAATTCAATCCCCAGTATTGGAAAAAAAGAAACCCAGTTAGACATGGTGGTGCACATCTGTAATCCCAGAACTCTGTGAGGATGAAGTGGGAGGATTTAAAATTAGAGGCGAGGCTGGGTAATTTAGCATCTTACACTCTTATCACAAACACCAACCAAACAAAAGCTGGGGATGCAGTTTAACACAAAGGACCCAAGTTGAAGCCCTCATACTGAAACAACCAAACACGGTGGTGCACACTTGTATTGTAATCCCAACACTCTGGGAAGTTGAGACAGAAGTTTGAGTCCAGCTTGGAAAATTTTGTGATTTAGCAAGACCCTGTCTCAAAACATTTGTAGCTCAGTGTAAAGGCCCTGGGCTCAATCTTAGTAACAAAAAAAATGCTTAGACAGGGGTCTTTGGACACAGGAGTCAGGAAAAGTGATCAAAAGCATGAGTGGTACAGCCAATTTCACAGGTTTTAGTCCTGACCCTGCTCTACAGTAGCTGTAGGTCTTTCAGCAACTGTCTTAACCATCAAATAGTTTTCAGATGTGTCAAATGAAGCTACTAATGTCATCTCATGTACGTAAGAGAACTTAATATTAAGGACTAGACAGAACAAGGGCTCAATGAATATTGCTGCCTTTTATTTCAAGGTTTGGCTGGTCATAAGCATATTTCCTGGTTTGTCTTATAAGGGTTTTGGTCTTATTTAGGTCCTGTGAGGGACCTCAGTAGCTGTCTTAAAACTGACCTTTAGGGGCCAGGGAGATGGTTCAGTAGAATAAGTACTTGCCTAGCAAGCGCAAGGGCCTGAGTGCAATCTCTGGTTCCGCCAAACAAAAAACAAAAAATAAAAAACTGACCTTTAGCCTCTTCTTTTTTTTTTTTTTGGTTTAAGCATCTTGGCAATTCTTATTCATACCTAGTAGTTTTTTTTTTTTTTTTGGTTAGCCTCTTCTTTGCTCATATAATTCTTAGTCCATCTTTGAGGAACGGAGGACAAGACATTGGTACAAATTCTGGCCCAGAGATGTAGGTAGCCATGTCTATCACTGATACCTCATTGTTAGTCAGCAAATATGACTGGGAAGAGTGGCCAAACTACTGATGCAGTCAACAGCAGGATTATGACCACTATTATTGATTTTACCTCCATGGCCACCTCAGTTTGCAGAGCTTGGGGGAGGGTGAATAATTTAACCAGGGCTCCTGTTTTAGAAAGAGAAAAAGGGTGAAAAGTCTGTCAGGCCTGGTGGTGCACACTTATAATCCCAACTACTTGGGAAGCTGATGCAAAAAATCACAAGTGCAAGCCCAGCCTGGACAACTTAGTGAGACTATCTCAAAATAACATAAAAATGCTAGAGATGTACCTCAGCAAAATTATTTAATGTTTTCTACTAAGCAGTTGAAAGACCTAAAGTGGACGTTCAGTCCAACAGAAAATATTGAGTCTTAAATGATCAATTCATGGGGGCCTGACCCTTAGCTCAGTTCTTGGGGGCCAGGGAAATGGCTCAATAGAATAAGCACTTGCCTGGAAAGCTCAAGGGTTTGAGTTCAATCCCTGGTTCTGGAAAAAAAAAAAGATCAATTCAATGCAATTCTTACTTCCCAAATTTCAGCAATCCTTAATCCTTAGAATATTTATTTACTTACTTACTTGATACAGGGACTTGCTATGCAGTTCAGACTCATAGTGATCCTCTGGTCTCAGCCTCCCCAGTGCTGGGATTACAGGTGTACACCACCACGCCTGATATTGGGGCAGGCATGGTGTAACAGGTTCCAGGGCTGGCACAGCATGCTGTACCAGGGATCACATTCAGATCCTTGGGCTTGCCAGGCAGGCACTTAAAATCACTGAGCTATCTCCCCAGCCCCCAGAATGAAGTTTTTTATTATGTGAGAAATAAGGAGACCATCATTTCCATGAGTGCTTTATGAAAGCAGTTTCAATTCACTATGGCAATACTTTAGAAAGCGAGGTTGAGGAAAAGGAAGTCCTACAAAATGCTGAAGTCCAAACTTCATCATATTCCAATTTCATCTTTCCAGTTTGTTTATAACCTGCTATTCATTTACTGTAAGTGGAACTGAGAAGGGCAAGGAAGGGAGGGTAGGGCACTTAAGAGTTTGGGGTAGTCAGGCCTTGAGGACAGAATGTTCATACTCCAACCAGCCCTGAAAAGATGAAAAATGAGGGATGCTCTGAAAGTTTATCAAGATGATTGATTTAGGGAATATGAGGTCAAATAACACCTATGACTAGACAGAAATAGGGACATGAGCTTGGGAGTAAAGCCTCCCTATCTCTGGGTCATTTCAAGGAAAAGTATCTCACATCTCCAGGCCAGGCAATCTGTTCCAATCCATGAAGTAAAATCAGCTGAACTCACAGAAGCCTTTTATAGTGCCAGAGTGAGTGTTAATAAAGTCACCTGCATAGAAATGACTGCCTCAGGGTCTTTTAACTAAATGTTACTTAAAAAAATTACAGTTGCTGTTTTCCATAAAACTTGAAAATAGTTTAAGGTTCTGAAAATTGAATAAAATTTATTGTAAAATACATTTCTTGAAAATACCACATGAAGGGGGCTGGAGAGATGGCTCAGTGGTCTAAAGCACCTACTTGAAACAGGCTTGGCAAAGCACAGGGACCGTGGTTCGATCCCCAGCACCACATGCTAGCCAGCCCCGCCCCCTGGTGGGCTGAGCTGGCCACACACACACACACACAATAAATAAATGTAATAAATAAAAATAAATAAATATTTAAAAAAAAAAGAAAATACCACATGAAAATTATAAAATGGTAAATAATCTTTTCCGTCTTGTATTTTACCTCAATTCTTAGAAGACAGTAAAGGACTGTGGGTGTGGCTCAGTAGTAGATCACATGCTTAGCATGCACAAGGCCCTGGGTTCCACCGCCAGCATAAAATAAACAATGCTAGCAAGCATGCTGGGGATTTTAAAGTCCAGGAGGGACAAAAACCAGGACTGTGCATCTTCTGGTTTATTGTCCAAATTTATTTATATGTGTGTGTGTGTGGCCAGATCAGCCCACCAGGGGGCGGAGCTGGCTGGCATGTGCTGGGGGATTGAACTGCGGTCCCTGTGCTTTGCTAAGCTTGTTCTAAGTAGGTGCTGTAGACCACTGAGCCATCTCACCAGCCCAATTGTCCAAATTTAAATGTTTCAACAAAAGGACAAAGGTTCATCTCCTATTGGAAATGTAGACATTAGTATAAGCAATAGATTTTGTTGGCTGCAATAGGATATATTTGTAGTTCTCCAGAACTTTTTTTTTTTTCAGAACCGGGGATTGAACTCAGACCCTTGCGCTTGTCAAGGAAGCGCTTATTCTACTGAGCCATGTCCCCAGCCCCTTAGGTCTTTATCTTTCCATCCTGATGAAATCGTGGTTTCTGGATAAAGCCCAAATGTCTTGAGTTCTCTTTGTCCCCCAGTACTGACATGAACCATGAATCTGTGCTTCTCAACATTTAAATCCTCTTTCCTCTCCCATTACTGTCCATTTGTTTTGTTTAGTGAATATGATTTTTTAACTATAAAAGGAAGAAATGTAAGATTTTGTAAAACCAAAGTGTCTAAATTAAAAAAAATTACCACACTGACAGTAGTTAGCAGTTTTCATAATTTAATGAAAAAGTATTGGTAAAAAGATGTCATTTGAAAAAGACTTTTATTTTGGAAAACTGGACTATGTAAGACAAAATGAAAAATAATAAGAACAAGGTTAAAAGGTAATATAACAACAAAATATAACAAATGCATTTTGGAGCAACTGAAACGTATATAACTGAAGGCTCCCTCATTTAACTAGGAAAATCATGTGAAAACATTATCACTGTATTTCCCTGACTGGAATGACATTTTAGTGTATCTCTCCCCAGTAGCATTACATATGAAATTTGGCTGAAGCACTATTTTGATATTTTCTTTTCCTCTCACTCATTGAGACTTGAAAGGCATGAAAGGACATAGGCTACCACATTGGTCTGTACCGTAAGTAGTTTACAATACAGCTCTATTATAATTACCATGAGTGTCAAATTAATATTTACCTCAGGAGAACACAAATAAAAGCACAGAAGCCTAGTGCATGAATACAGGAAATTATCTTCATTTTTTCATTCAAACAAAATACAGAATACCTAGTACATAATGTTATATCATGTTCACAGGTACCTAGGCACAAAAGAAACATTTTGAAGACAGAGCCAAAGGAGAGGCAAAATACAGTTTTTAGAAAATGAGAAACAAAAACCAAAGAACCTATTAACAAGGCTACAAGAAGAAAGGTAGGGGAGAGGAAAACTGCTGAGTCTTCCCTAGATGGATGGAAAGAGGGCCTCAGCTTCCACTAACCGGCACCTACTACAACTGGACTGTTTCTCCAGTAAGAAACTTCAAAAATTGGAAATGGTCTTTTTTGTATCAAGATTTCCACTACACTTTCCCAAACTAGAAGAAAGAGAATATTAATTTAAGGCTAAGAGGAAGAGATTTGAGAATTACAGTCTGCTTCACATTTTATTTTTTTATTTTTTTGGCAGAACCGGGAATTAAACTCAGACCCCTGCACTCGCAGGCAAGCGTTTATTCTACTGAGCCATCTCCCTGGCCCCTTCACATTTTAAAAACTGCAACCTTTTCCACTTTCTTAAATGAGAAGCAGACATATTTTATCCCCTCCCTTTGAAATGTAATTATTCTCTTACTCCAGATATTAATCAAGGCTGATCATTTGGGAACAGGATATAAACAACTTCTGAAAAATGGCTCCAGCCATTTTGTTTGGGAAACTGCCTGAGATTCAAGTTGATACAAAGCTAAATTATATCCATGTGTTAAACACATGCTTTCAAATTTTGACAATAGAAATCTGTTTCAAAATTAAAGCAGGTAAGAACACTTAACTTCTGTGCACTTTATTATATCTTAATTATACCTCAATAAAAACTTTACAAACATTAAAGCAGGTATACAAAAATTGTCAGCCAAACTTATTTTAGTCAAACTTATTTGAAAACAACATAAAACCCTGACCTAGTACAAATATCCCAGAAATGGTCTCACTTTGGGAAAGGCTTTGGGATTCTTACAAATGTCTAAACAGAATCAAAGCATTTTCCTTGGAAGTAGTACTTCGGTACTTCTGTAAACACTATCCACAAGTTAGTTTTTTATGTTTGTTAGCTGGGTAAGTTATGACTGTGTCCCCAACAAACATGTCTAGGAACAGGCACTCGACACTTGTAAGCAATAGGAGAATTGACTTGTTAAGGTACAATACTGTGAAAACAACTCAACCTTGTGCAGAGCAAAGGAAGAGTGAGTTTGACAGTATCTGAGAATGTTTGTCTCCTGGTCTGTCCCTTAAAGACACCATGGAGTTGGAAAATCTCTACAGACAGGCCCTCTAGGAGCCACATGCTGTAGCTGCAAAAGACAAGTAGTTTTAATATATGGTGATCACAGTCTCTTACAAATCCATTAACAATGAATGCAAAGACTCTCAATACAAAGACTCATTAATGTGTTAATATAAATGGAAAGTGCCCTAAAGTATTTACTGAATACATACTCTGGGCCCAGCAATTCCCAATAGCTTCGACAAACCAGCTTCCAGACAATCTGTAGTTTTTCCAATGGGCTTGTAAAAACTAAGACTTTAAATCTTTTCAAAAACTGTAACCCAATTTATTATGGAAACTTTCATCCTTTTCCTTGTAATTTCTTCCAATATGTGCTAGAATCCTTTTGGTGTATGGATTTCCCCCAATATATGGGGCAAAGGCAAAGGTTGGGTTGTCTTTGGGAGTTGCTAATCACCTTTGCATTGAACTATGGGAAAGAGGATGTGTCTTGTTTTTACCATGACAATCCCGTCTAGAATCATGGGAAGGGTTTTCCCTATCTGAGCTATCTTTCCTTACCCTGGACTTTTCTTTATTCTCATCACTTTCAGCTTCTGAATCGCTTAACTCCAAATCTGGGCAATAGCCGTCATTTTCCTGGTATGAAGCTTTCCCTGCAGACCGCCTAAGAAGCTGCCTACCCCAGAAAGGTTCTTTAGGGCTCATATTCTTGGCTGGTTTCACACAGCATTGAAGATCCTCAGAGGTCCTCACCAATCTGTTGGTGGCCTCTTTAAAGGACCTGCTGAAGTGTTCCATGGTGGATTTTTTAAAGGTACCCTGACTAGCCAAGTGAGAGCTGAGCATGGACTCCTGGTCACAGAACACTTCACTTGAACTTTCTTTTTGGGTGACATTCTCAGACCAGCTGCCCTCTAGGCCATTGGATTTGGGAAACTTGGGGTTAGGCTGATTTTTCCCATTCCCAATGGAAGACTGTCCATGGAGGGCAGCTTGAAGAGCTAGAGGTTTCCCCAGTGACTGTCCATGATAGAACTCCGAAGATGGAGCTCTCCAAGTAGGACTGGAATCCTTTGCTTCGCTCCGAGAAAGGCTGAGACTGTCCGGAAAACAGTTACTCTTGCTCTCTAGTGGATGTCTTAGATACGTTTTCATTTTCATTTCTAGAGGCTCTGGAGGCACTTGCATGCTCCTTTTATTGGAACCAGGGGAGCTGCTGCCAGGAGAGTAGGGTTGGTGGTCAGCCTCTGTGGAGCTGTTTCTGCAGTCTTCCGGGGTTGATTTGGGCATTTTTAACTTTAAGGTAATTCTTGGTGGTGGGTAAAACAATGAACTTTCTAGTGCATTTGTCAATTGTTGTCCTGAGATCAAAAAGAAAGATTTATTTTAACAACTGATTTTAATAGCAGCATACATACTTATTATGGCGGAATCTAATGTACCTATTCTTCCCAGCAATTATCTAAGAAGCATTGGTCTTTGATATACATATACCTCATGGGAATAACAGTTGGACTGAGTTGACCTACAGAATGGGGCCTAGACTGCTACAGATGACAAACTCAGTTGTTCCACAGCTCAAAACCTCTTCACCTGTGCTTTCCCAGTCTATAAAATGATCACAAAGACTAGTGTGCTGCCTCCTGCATCCTCATCTCTGCCTCATTCATTTCTGAAAAAAAAGTCACCAGTGTTCATTTAAAATAGATTCTCTCTACTTGTGTGTATGTGTGCATGCATGGGTAACTATGCACAGTGCTGATACTGTGTCTCAAGAAGACATTTCAGACCCTTTCCTTCCTTCTCTCCTGGCCTTCCTAAAACAAGTCAAATATAACCCCACAGAAACAACAAAAGTTTTGCTGGGGGAAAACATGTATCTGGTATTGGTAGGTAGCTTCTGCCAATGCTATGTACCCACCGTAAAATAATTCCCTGACTATATACTCCTATAACTGGCTGATTATGGACTTGGCCTGGGGAGTACTAGCAATCATTTATCTGGTTATGTCATCCTATGATCAATTAGAATGGGTCTTTCTCTACCAAACAGTTCCACCTCACTTATGGACTTGACTGTTGCCCATTATTATATTACAAGTCTCACAGAGATGAGAATTAACAAGGTCAGCTCTTAGATGCCCTAAGGGGCTATAGTCCCGAAAGGTCCAAGTTAAACATCCACAGCCTTCATATCTGCCATGGCCTGCCACCTGCTGATGATGTAAGCCATGATAAGCCTGATTCCTGCAATCAGAAGCCATGTCTGGATTAATCTCCTTGGCATGCAAGGGCTTTTCCAGATTGTTCTTTGTTTCTTGTTTTTGCCAGTCACATTGTCCTTGACACTCACAAATATCCCAAAGAACTGTTATCATTTAACTTAATTCTTAGTTCCTAGCAGGTGCTCAACAAATATTAGTGATTAAATGAAAATGCAAGAACTAGTCTTGGTTAAAGGTTTAATAGATTATTACTACAATGAATAATCTTGGAATTAAATATTTTCTGGAAACTGGAAATTCTATCCTATCAATTTTGAAATGAATTTGATAATTATAGAATAACTTTATGGGTCTAACTAATGGCTTCAAATGTCTGTCTGGGACCTAGATTATCTGTCCTATACCTGCAATTCCTCTAATGCTACTCTGGGATTGCTTGTGTCAGAAGTTGATAATGAAATGGGCCATGTTAGTAAAAGGACTGGACTGAAGCAAATGAGCTGTTATGGTTTATATCTAGATGTCATCCCAAAGCCTCATCTGGTCTAGGTGGAGCTTCTGGGAGGTGACTGAATCACGGGCATGATAATTATCAGTGGATTAGTTTACTGATGAGTTTATAGCTAAGTATGATATTAGAAAGGGAAGCCTGGTGGAGGAGATGGATCACTGGGGTCAAGGCCCGAAAAGGAGTATCTTCCTTCCTCCTCCATCAGTCACAACTGTTTGATTGCCATTCCATACACAACTCTCCTTTGCCATGCCCCTTCGTCATGATGCTCTGCCTTACAGCCAGCACAGGTTTGAATGTGCATACTATGAACCAAAATAAAGCTCTCCTCATTTAAATTGTGGGTATTGGATACTGTGCCTCAGGGATGAGAAAGCAAAAATAGATTTTGGTATTAGAGAAGTGGGTTTATTTCAATGATGCTACCTGACCATGTGGTCCTTGGAACTGGATTGCAGGAGGAGTATGGAAAGGTTTGGAGAGGCCAGCTGGAGAAGGAGCCCTAGAAAGTTATGAGCCAAGCTTAATGGGAGATTATAGTTGGAGCTCAGAGGACCAGAATGTTGGCTGTAATGCAGCTGGAAAAGACCAGGTTCAAGAAGTTTCAGTTTGGAAGAAGGAATGCATTGGCAGTTGGACTCCAGGTCATGTGTTTTGTCTTCTGGCAGCATTTTGCTCATGGCCAGAGACTTTGCAGGAGACTGAGATAAAGGGTGGCAGACTAATTAACTTGGCAAGGGAATTCCAAGACAGCCAAACATAAGAGGCTATGGCTTGGGTACTGTTGGAGGATTTTAGCCAGTTCTACATTAAGAATCAAGAGTAAATTATCCAGTGGAATGATTTAAAAAGTTTTGAATTTGGCCAGAAAGGAAGCTCTGGTGAAGTTGGGGCCTGTAAAGATAGAGCAAAGGTGAACTGGGTTGCTGAAAAGATTAGCATTAAAAAGAAGCCAAGTACTTTGGAACAGGACAATAGGAAAAATATCTTGAGGGGAATGTGAGGAACCAACAATGCTTCACCTTTTAAGGGCTCAAAATTGCAAAGGTGAAAGACAGCCTTGAGAAGAAAGCCCAAGGGTACCATGCTACAGACTGGCAGCAGCCTAGGGAATAGGAATTGCTTCACCAGGATTCAGTTCACTGTGCTCAGCCATCTAGGAATTCAGAGGTCTCTGCAACCACCAGCAAGATGCAAAAGGGCTCAGCTACTGCTCCAGCTGGTGGCAGACCTTGGCATCATCCACCTTGTTCTCATTTTAGGCACATGTAGAATAGAATAGTTGTAAGGTCAGGCAGGCTTCCACTCAGATTCAAGAAGATGACCTCAGAGGTCAGGCAGTGTGCAAAGCTGTAAATGTGAAGCCAAAAGTATAGTGGAGACCCCAGGATGCTAGAAAAGCGAGGAATTTGGAATATCTGAGGAAAGCCGTAAGGAGTGAGCAAAGCCAGCCCAAAAGAGGCCATGAGAGCTATAATCACTGAGAGTACTGTAGGGGTGGGGCCACTTAAGCCCTTTGGCATTCAAGTATTTCCCAGGGTGCTGGAGATAGAACTATGAGATGTATGTATGTATGTATGTATGTACGTTTTTTTGAGACAGGGTCTCACTATGTAGTTTAGGCTAACCTTGAACTCACTATATAGTCCAAGCTAGCCTCAAAGCTGAAGTACTTCTCTTGTCTCAATCCTTCACATGCTGGGATTATAGGCATGTACCACTATGCCAGGAGGCACTACAGGGTTTAATGTTTGCCCTCCTGGATCTGGGTCTTGCTTTGGTCTCATTCCTTTCTTATCCTGTGCCTTTGTATGTTGGAAATGTTTAACTTTATTTTTACAGGGGCTTGAAGCTAAGAGTTTGCCTTAAATCTCAGAGGAGATTGTAGACTTGGACCTTTTAGCAATGCTAAAATGGTTAGGACTTTGGCAACTCTTAAAGATAGACATGAGTCTTTTGGGGGCAAGGGTGGAATGTTATAGTTTATAGCTAAATGTTCCCCCAAAGCCTCATCTGCTCATAGGTAGGGCTTTTGGGAGGTGATCGGATCATGGGGTTGTGATACTTATCAATGGATTATTCTACCGATGAGTTTGTATCTAAATGTGATATTGGGAGGTTAAGCCTGGTAGAGGAGGTAGATCACTAAGGTCATGGCCTTTTGAGGTCATGGCCTCCTCCCTTGATCACTCTGCTTCTTGACTACTATGCCATAAGCAAGCCTCCTCTTCCATGTCATCCTGCCTTCTAGCCAGCTGACTACGGCCTGAAACCTTCACAAACTGAGCCAAAATAAACTTCTCCTCTTTAAGTGGTAAGTGTAGGGTTTTATGTCCCAGGAACAAGAAAGTAACTAAGACAAGAAATTTTAAAGATGTTTCAGTGGAACAGTTTAAGTTGTTAAGAAAGGATGTAATCAGAGTTTATATATTTGCTAGAAAGATATTAAGAGACAGGTTACCTGCAACACTTTCTTGGTTAAGAAGCTGGACCTGCAAATTGAAGATCTGTTCCTGTATTTTGCTCTGTGATAGTTTCAGCTTCTCACGCCTGCTTATCATGTAGCACAGATTTCGGACCTGAAAGCCCAATCCCCAGCAAATAGAGATGTTTGTCATGTTAAGCAAACCTGACAAGTGAAACTGTTTAGCTAAAATGAAGATGACTAAGATCAGGTAGGAGTGCGTATGAGGAGAAAAGACAGGACCCTCCAAGAAACTCAGACTGAGAGCCACTCCATAGGAATTCACGCAGCACAGTTGATCATGGGGGCATGGTTCCTGTATCAATCAGCAGCACAAAGTGCTCCAAAGCCATCTTCTGAAATCTACTTTCCCTGCAGTGTTTTAGGATCAGTATTTATGTGCACAGCCAGGCTGGGAAGACAGAATGATTGTTTAACAATTCAACCTTCCCTTTAGGTTCCTTAGTGCAAATGATAGCAATGCTGGCTCCATTACAACTTTCCAATGAGACCAGCAAAAGATGGACCAGCAAAAGAAAAGTTTGCTGGGAAAACTGGAAGTGGCTTTTTGCTCACACTTTCAATTTAGCCACATTTCCACAGTTATAAGTACGAAGTTCTTACTCTCTCATACTTCTCACCCGGACCAGTTACTCAAACTTTCTGTGCCCCACCTGTAAATAGGGATGAGAAAAATAGTTTTGCAAAGCATATTAGGATGAAATGAATATTTATATAAAATGCTCAGAACAGTATTGGTAATAATAGTAACAGGAGGTGCTATATGTCA